CGGTTTTTTAGAAATTTAATTTCACTTATACTACCAAAGATATTGAAATCTTGATAATTGATATTACACAAATTTCAAAAGGCTGAAACTCGAAGAAAGATAATGTACAAAAAAAAAAATGTTATTATCTACTTTTATAATAGAAACTTTTAAAATTTGGAAGTAATCTAAGATTGTTAATGAAAACCTGGGTTTAGATAATGGTAAATTTGAAGAGTCAATTCAGTACATTTCTTCTGCTTATAATTTTTCAAAATAGATAGGCTTTGTCTTCCTGCGTTTACAAAATTTATAAATTATTTTTGCTTTAGACATAGTAGTTCGTCAAACACTTGAATATTCACGAATATTAAGAACTTTAACTCTGATGGGTAATGATGGGTACGTAAAAAATTTTTTTCTAAGAGAAATAATGCCGAAGACATATTTTCTGTACAAAAATTTTATTGTTTTACTTGAACGGTATATAGACGTTCTGTAAACATAATTTTTAATAGTATGTAAAATAAAATAAACTTTAGTCTAATTTCATGGTTAATGCACTTTATTTTTTATCTTATAATCTTCTCAAAATTAGATGAAATCTTTAAAAACGTGTCCATGCGTTAGGTGTATGGATAGGTCTATGTATTAGAACATATTCATATATATGTATGAATCCCCACACGCGACAAATTACTTATCGGCTCAACGTGTACAACCTTTTCCTTTTCAAAAAAGAAAAAAAATTAGTAACATAAAACAAGTACGAAATAAGATAAGAAAAAAATAAAAATTTTAACAGATAAAACGTTTAAAATACAAAAAAAAAGAAATATTTCACTTGCCGTCTTGCGTTTTCATATAAGCAAAAATACAATGACAAAGGATAAAGTTGTACAATATAAAAGTATACTAAAATTTTTTCTTTAACACTTTTTTGTTCTCCAAACAGCATTACATATTAATTTGAAAAAAAAAATCCTTACTTTACATTGTCGTTTATTTTTATCTACCTGTATGATAGCTACATATTTATTTTTATAACACATTTGAGATCAAATAAGCTTTTCTTGTAATCTGTTTCCGATCGTACTTACATAATAGTACAAATCATATACACACAGTTACGTAATATAGCGGAATAGATCATTTACGGTTCCATGATCATATTTATTTGTTACATTACTCTGTCGCCTGTCACCCTATACACATAAGTCTTGCTTTCATGTATCTATACACTTATGTTTAACAAATAATTTCGTAAAAGGACTTAAAAAAAATAAATAGTAGAAAAAGGAAACAAAAAGATTTTTTTTTGTTTTTGATTTATTTTTACAAAAGGATTTACAAAATAATGTATGAACTAATAAATAAGTAAAATATGTACGTATATATATACAATTATGATATTTTGTTAATAATTTCTACTTAATTTTACCTTGTGTGTTAAAATAATAAATGTAAGTGAATTTACACCTGGAAAATCCTTTACAATTGTAATAAATTTTCAAATCTATTTTATATGTAAATTGGAGAAAATAATTTTTTTATTATAGATTTTTGTATAACACAGTGCATATATACACAGTTAATTTTTAATAGATCTAGTTACTAAGATTTGTCGGAAAAACATAAATTTACAAAAAAAAATGCTTAATAATTGCAATATTGTACGTTGTTCACAAGTGTTTTTATGCTGAATTTGAGTTTCAGTATCATCAAAGAAAAATTAAAAGGCAAGCAAACAGAAATTGTTTTGCTAAAATGAGCCACTATTTGTTATTAAGTAAAAATGTCGTAATTTAATAAGAAGAAATTCTTATGAATAAATGTTAGTAGGAGTTCGAGGCCTTTACACCTACATAAATGTTAAATAATGGTTTTCACTATAGGAGTGGATTGACTTATACCAGATTTATGTAGATTTTTATTAGCAACGAAAAAGAAGTGCTTCACAATATGCCTCTTTAAAAATTGTTATAGAAGAAGGGGGCTATTAAAATCTTGTTTAAGAGCTCTATTTTCTTTTTATGTAACCTTATTCAAAATAGGTTATTGGTTTGGCTGTGTTAGGTAACATATGCTAGGTGTGTCATAGAGGTGATAAAATAAGTTCTTTCACAAGCATACAATGAATTTCATAGATCTTTTAGTTCCGACACCGAACCTGTTTAAAAATGAAAATTTGGAAAATTTGGAAATTTTTTAACGGTACTTAGTAATGAAATATAGTATGTATCCAAAAATTGTTTAGATTCAAAAAAAACCTTATTTTGGGGAAAAAATTGAATTTTTTTCTTTTGGAAATTGAAAATTTATTTTTATTCACTTAAATTAATAAAAAATTTTCAAATATGTAAACATTTACAAATCGATAATATGAGGCAATAAACCACTAATAGGTTCTATATTTTCATAAAAATATAGAACCTATTATACAGTTTAGGTACCAGCTTCGAATATCATAACCCGAGTTTGGCGAGTTTAAAATAATAGAGTCATTAGAAGTTCGTGGTTATTAATTCATTAACAAACAGTAAACACTAATGGTAAAATTAAATTTTTAGCTATAATTAATTAATTAAAATTTATTTAACAAAATATTTCCACAAAAATAAATATTTTATATAAAATTCTTCACATTCAAACGCAATTTTCTAGTGCTTGTAAAGTTTTTCAACAATTTTTATTAAACTATATTTCATAAGTATTGTGCTAAATTTCAAAATTGGTCTTGGAAAAATTTTTTATTAAATTTTACCCTAATAAATTTTGCAACACCTGCTAAACATTATTTCGCTTTGAAAAAAATTTTTCGAAAAAAATTTCGTTAAAAGAAAAAATTTAGAGACTAAAAGCATTAAATTTTCTATTTGAAAGTTTTATTACAAAAATATTTATTTATTAACAATAAATAATAAATTATTTCAATAAATTTTGTATTAGGACATAAAATGTTTTTGGAATTTTATTAATAATTTGTTCTATAACCATTAAAGTAAAACATAATTTTTAGCACTTTTCCAAAAAATTTTTGAAAAAAAAGTCCGTCCGTCCGTCCGTCTGTCCGTGTGTCTGTTTACAAAACTTCTACATTTCTAAAGATAGAAAGCTGAAATTTAATACGTGTATAGATCTTTACTAGAAACTTATTTTCGTAGAACAAAATTTTTACCTATCTCCCCCCCTCTAGAAGTTATACCCCCCCAAAGCCACAAAAATGGCCCATTTTAACTATTTGTTGCAATGAAACCATAAGCATTTTTGAAATTTTGCAAACGCAAAAAGGCAGCGGCTTGCTTTCCCTAGCGCACTATATTATAGTTAAACTTTAGAAAAACAAAATGGCCGTTCAAATTTACCGTTATCTAAAGTCCTTTTTTTCCAAATTTTTGATGTCGTTTTTCTCCTATACCCTAGCCTGCAGAAGCTTGAAATTTTAGGGGCTTTTCGACATTAACAAATAGTTCATTTCGTTAGAAGAAAATTTTTCTCCATCTCCACCCCCTCTCAAGTTATCGCCTCTTGAAATTCGTAAAATTTGAATTTTTGACACCTTATGTTTCCGAAACTGCAAGCTTTTTCAAATTTCTATAAACGCAAAAAGCTAACGGTAAATTCCATGACATTAAAAAATACAATTATTTTTCTTAACTCACACAATTAACCCTTAAAATCGAGCATTATGTTAACCCCACTTTATATTAATTTTTCCTTTATTTCAAAGACTGCATAAATCGTTCATCCTAAATATATGCAATCCTAGAAACAGTTTCGTTTATGAATGAAAATAATTTTAATAGTGTGGTGGATATACATTGATTGTTTTTAAAAGCAGTATTTTCACTTGTTGAAGGGAAAAGTGCTACAATACAGACCATTGGTTTGACCCAACTTTATTAAACTTATTTTAAGGAAAATTCAGGATTTTTTGGTTTGAAATTGTCTTCAAAATCAGATTTTAGTTTCTGCTTTAAAAAATTAGAAGCTTGATGAAATTTAGAATAAAAATATTGATCTCTTTCCAAATTCTGTTGGAATAAACTAAATTTTCTAAATGTCGATTGAGTGTTATTGAATTGCATTCCATTAGTGTTATTGAACTGCATTCCAAATTAAAACTTCGTAGAGTTCTATGTTTTGTATTTTTTTATCAGAATATGATCAACGTAGGCATCGAAAACTTCGAAATAAATTTATCCGGAAAAATAACTTTTCTGAATTTTTGTTTAATTTTTAAATGATTTCTTTATTTTTCAACGTTACAATTTACAACGTACTGGTAGATTTGCATTTATTTTCTATATCCTTTTCCTATTTTAAGGTTATCAACAAAAAGTTATCACATTAACATTTATAAATATAAATTTAAAAAAAATTACTTTAACTCTTATTTTGCATTGGAGGTGTCTAAAATCAACTTAAACATTCTATGTTTATAATCAAAAGAAATGAAGATGAAGAATATTTTTCCAATTAATAATTCGAATTTTCCAAAATTTTTTTCAAACTGAATATTTTTGGTCGTTTTTTTGCATACATAAATTACGACGTGAAATCGAAGTGTGCTCTCCAGTTGGTGGAATTTTTTCAAGCGAAATTTCGAGATGATAAGCGTAAAATGACGAATCCTATCCTATAATACGTTACCAAAAGGATCCGCGTCAATTCGAGCATCATAATTTAAAATTTTAATTGAAGATGTTAATATTTACCCGCAATGCCGAATTCGAAATCAAATAACAGAATGAAATCAAAACGATCATTTAATCAAAGTCCAAAAAGGTTTGAATTGTACAGAGCATATATGCAATCTTTCAAAATAGTGATTAGGTATCGTGCATGTAAGTACATTCAAATTTTGAGCATTTTCAATTAATTTTAAGTGAATTTCATCCATTACCAAACGAAAAAAGAAAAAAAAATAATAATTTCTCTTTTGAATTGTTAAACAAATTTTTTTTTTCACAAAATTGCCAAAGTATTAAATTGAAAAAATAAAAGTTTTCATAACTTACCTTGTGTCCTTAAAAGTAGTATAAAACAAAATAAAAACCAAAATGTTACTATATCCATTTCGTGTTTTTTTTTTGTTTTATTTGTTTCTCTTTCTCTTGTTTTTGTTTCTTTATTATTTTCGAATTTGTGCTCACGTTCTTAGTTCACTTTTCTTGTTTCCCGCTCTTTCAATGTTTTTTTAATGCAATAAGTTATACTTTTTCAAAAAAAAAAATTTTTTTTTGTTTTTGTTTTTTATTTTCTCTTTAATACTATAAAATGCTCTACTCTCTTGCAAATAAATATGCACAAATAAAATATTTCGTGAATGAATAAGTATGTATGTATGTATATATAACAATATTTTTATATGTTATATTGTGTGTGTATTATATACAGTTATTTTATTTTATTTATTTTCAAGTTTCTCTCCCTTAAAAATTTATAATTTTTTTATCTACTACAATTTTTTTTCTTCTTTTCCATTTCAAAAAATTTGTTTCGTTTTGTTCTTTTTTATTTTAAAGTACTTTTTAGCTTTTCATCTTTTTCTATTCTAAATGTTAGATTTTATTTAAAAATTTTTGTTTTATTATTTTACTTTATTTTTTTTTGTAAATTTTCAAATATTGTAGAAGAATATTTTGTAGATTACTCGCGTAGCCAATTCTCTATTTTCATTTTTCCTTTTTTTTTTGTTTTAATTTTTATAGAATGGAAAATATTTACTAACCTGTGTATTTTCACTTAACCAAGTTGGGAAAAAAGTATAGAAATTGAAAATTTTTTTTATATTTTTTGATATTTTTTTAATCTTTTTTTTTTCTATCACTTTTTATTTTATTTTCTTTTTTTATATTCTATTTTTTTTACAGTTTATTTTAAATTTCTTGAAAATTCGCCTCTCAAGTTTTTACAACAATATTATATTTATATATATACAGTAGCATATATGTATATTAACTAAGTGTAATACTGTTATACAGACAATACAATTATTATTACACAAATTAATTTTGTTATATTTGTAGTGGTTATATTTTTACTGTTTCTGCTGTGTTTGCTATTATTATACGTTAAGATTTTTTTTTTTATTTTTATTCACTTTTAAAATTAGGTTGAAATGAAAATCAACAGCATTGGCCTAAATTCTCACGATAATATAATATAAAAAAAATTTTTTTTTTTAGAATAAGACGGTCAAATAGATGAAAATTTTTTTTTTTATATTAACAATGTTGCTAAATTTTGAGATAGAATCATAAATGCTGGGTATATACACATGTATACAAAACTGTTATATAGTATTTTATAAGTAAAAAAAGAAGAAAGTAAAGTATATAAAACAACAGAAAATCAAAACAAAAACAAACCAGACAAGTAATAAGATGAAAAACACAAAAGTATTATTTTATATTTTTTCACTATATTTCTTCAGTTTTTTTTTCTTTATTTAAATTTTCTTTACTTAATGTTCATATTTTCTTGAAAAATTTTTTCTATTTTTCTTTATGTTATTTTTATTGTTTTGAATTAGGAGGACATTCAGAAAGGACGAAAAAGTTTAATTTTTTTATTTCCTTCTTCCTTTTTTTCCTTACTAAGTATATGAGAAATAAAACTTATTTTATATTTTTTACTTCACTTTTATATTTATGTATTTTTTTTTTATTTACTTGTATATTTGCAAATGCATTTACATTATATGTTTCTTTTTTATATACAAATTTATATTTAAAGTTTATAAAATTGAAATTTCATAGTTCTTAATTCACTTGCTTACTGCATGGCTACTTTTCTACTTCACTTAAGTTTATTTTTTATTCTATATTTAATTTTTTACATTTTTTTCCCGTTTTTCAATTATTTTAATTTTTGTTATATTATTTAAATTTTCTACTTTTATTTATTTAGTTTTTATTTTTGTGCTTAATTGCGATTTTTATGCAAGTACTTAATATTTTATTAATTTTATTTTTAGTTTTTTTATATTTTTTTAACTGTTTGTGGAATTTTATTTTTTATTAAAACGCCTAATGATTTGCTTATATAGAAGCATTTGATATGTAAATATGGTGAGTGTATTTATAGAAAATTCCTAAAAAATAAATAACAAAAAAAATTATTATGTGAAATTAACTTGAAAATTTTTAAATAAATAGAACGTCTGTTTATAAATTCGTTGACTTATCAATTAAAACAAAAAAAAAGAAGGACTCAAAAGTATTTTTTTAAATTTTATAAGAGACACACAACCCATTTACATTTCAACATGACAACTTCAAAACTAATCAAAGTCATTTTATGTTCAAATAAATGTTACTTGAAACCGGCTTCACTCAAGTCAATGAAATAATTTTATTTACTTGACTTGAAATGTTAAAGTAAAAACACTGTTTGAAAGTTCGAGAGCTTGAAAATGCAGAACATAATTTTTTTTCATAATTAGATTGTCATAAATTAGATTTTTTATTAGCTGACATAGTAAAAGTGTCGCTTGAAATTTGAGCTGATTTCAAGTCAAGTATACTCATAAATGCACTGCGTTACGTAATAAGCTCATTTTTGAGTCAATAATTCAATATCAATATAAAAAAAATAATGATTGAAACTGAAATAGAATAAGATCTCATGAAATAGAGTTCTTTAATACAAATCATTAAAAATTAGCAAAGAATATTATTCATATTTTAATTTGTAAATAAAAGTTTTTGACCTCTGTTTGTTAGTGTATTGTAGATATCTCTGTAAGTTATAATATAGCAGTAATGAGAAAAATAAACAAAGCAGTACAATTGCTTGAATAATGCTAGATGATTCCACTTATGTTATAACCAAAATATTATCTGGAAAAAACATCAAAAATTTATTGAATGATAAGGTATAAATTTTAAGTATTTATAAATTCTTTTTGTGGAATAACACTTTTTAAAAGTATCCTTTTTCAAAATTTAAAAATAATTTTGGTTTGAATACAAGTTTAAATACCTATGAGGTTACTGAACTCAACAGAAATTTTACTAATTCCATATATATGGAAAATTTGCTTCCTTCAACTCTTGTAAAAATTTCAATATTAAAAATTTTCAAAAAAAAAAAATTTTTTCTAATTACTTAAACAATACATATTGAAAAACTATTATTAGAAGACTATAGTATATAGAAAACGATATGCCATTAGCCATTCCAACAATTCAATATTATATAACATAAAAAAAGAAAAAGGATTCCATGCAAATCTCATCCATATGCAAATAAGAAATTCTTGTTTTTTATATGAAAATATTTTAGAATTCGAAATCGAAACCAAAAATGAATTCTAAATTGCTTAACTATTCTTTCTATTAAATATTTAATTATTTATATGTATATATCATCAATATATCTATCGTCAATTATTTTAAGTCAAAGTGTGCTTCTCGAATTAAAGATTCTTTTTAATTAGTTTTCCAATTCTTAATATATATTTAAATTTAACACTAACATCAAATTGAAGATATAAATTTTCAAATTATTTATTATCCTTTTTATTATACTCTATAATAATTTTTGTTCTTATTACCTAATTCAATACCAAAATATTTTTATAATAAATTTTATTGGTATATATTAAATAGCAAAGCATATGTCCATACAAATATATATGTATAAGTATGTATGTGATCCTTTAAAGCAACTTAAATAATATTCTTTGAATTTCAAATATTATTTTATCTCTTTAGATATAAAACAATCAAATAGTGTAGAACTTATATAGAACGTATATTTATATGTGCACATATATGTACATATGTATATGCAATTTTCATACTATTGTTCAATAAAACTGAAAACTTCAAATCAAAAAATTTAATTTCCTTTTCAAACAAATAAAATATAATATACCGCTCATATAGCTTTTATTTATTTGTATGTATATACATATATATGTATACATAAGAAGATATGTAACATATATAGATGGCAACTCAAAGGATGAATTTCTTATTTTTATTATCCTTTTTGGCTAAATATTTTATTTCATATATATAATATTATATTTCTTTAATATACAATATAATATATATAAATATAATAATAATAGTATTAAGTGGTACCATCAAATTAAAATTGAAATTAGATCAGTTGAATTAAGTTTTTGGCTTGGGATGCCAATAACAAATATTTCTAATGTATATTCACATATAAATACGTATACGTATGTTTGTATATTTGTTCATGTATATAATTGTGCATATAATATAGATAGATAAAATTATAAAGAATAATTAAATATAAAATATGCAAATTAGGCATATATGAATCGATACTTGCATTTATATTCATACTACTTACACACTTTTATATTCAACAGTTTATTTTTGATCTTAAGAAGAATTAAATTAAGATCAAATACCAATGGCTTGTAAAGTAGTACATTTCCAAGTGAAAGAACTTATTTTTCCAAAAAAAAAAAATTACAATACATTTTATCATTAATATGATTTAATTACTGCATACTCTTAGGATGAGAACGATATTTCAACAAGCCGTACGAAAATTAAAATGTAACTTGAAATTATTAATTACACTTTCAGAATTAGAAGACATTTGTTTACGTAAAGAATTTGCTTTTATATAATTTAAATGAAATTGGTGGAAATTTGAGTTTTTCTAATTTTTACGGGATTTAAAAATGTGCTGCGAAAATGTAGAAAATTTCCACAATTTTTTATTGAAAACCGAGCAGCTAGAAGAATTAACGTGATAACAAGTTATTCCTAACAAGTTGTTACTAACTTCGTCCGAAAAAAAATTTAATATGAAATAAGTAATTTACGTTAACCTAATATACGAGTATGATAGTAAAATATTTTTTATCGTTTTAAAACCACTAAAACTCAAATAAATTTACTGATTTTCTTTTCCATATCAAAGAACTCTTTTATAAAAACTTGCGAATGAATTACTTGGCAATTTTTGAAAATTCAACGAAATTCGTTTAAATCCAATTTATAACGTTGTGTTTTTAATAAAAATGTATAACACCAAAAACCCTGATTTCATTGTATAAAAAGAAAAATAAATTTATCAAACCTGATCACTTTTATTAGCTAATAAGTGTTCTAAAATAACAAAATATAAAAAATAATACCCTAAGATGCATGATTATATAAATAATGCATGACTATACACATACATGTAAGTATACACATCCATTAAATATGGTTGCATCACCCCTACACAAATATTTCATTTTTACAATTATTAATTTTCCACACCAAATTTTATTCTACGATTAGTTGAACATGGATTCTATTCTTCATTTCATCTTCTCAACGCTTTTGATTTTATATAATAGAAGATGTGAAGGGAAAAAATAAAAATGTTCCTCATGAAAA